CACGCGCATCGACACATGCACACCGAGGCTCCGAGATCGGCCGTGAACTGCGTGTGCTGGTGGGCGCACAGGGGCTCTTCCCTCGATGGCCAGAGTAAACAGATCTGGAAAGTTAAGCAGGAAATTATACCAAAGTTTAGGTGTTATGCTGAAAATAACGGTGTCCTTCAAGCCATACCCATCCTTCCGACACTCGTCGTCACTAGCATCTGCTGCGTTCTGGAGTTCGATTTTGTGGTACGCGTCAAGCCATTTGAACCGGAGAGCCTCACAGTCAATCTTCAGTTTCTTTCTTTCCTCTATTTCCTTTTTCAGGTTGTGGAGTAAGGTCAGACAACGGCCGTTTAGTAGTCTGAAATAAAAAAATGCCGCTGAAATCATTTTAGTAGACACGTTTAGCTGACTAGATAATCGACTAGGCAACAGCTGGAAGGTAGCAGCGCAGCAGGCGCATGCAAACACAGCTTTTAGCTTTTTGAAACATTTCACAGAAAATTACTTCGTGTTGGGGTTCCTTGCTAAGCAATTTTGAGGGAAATCGGAGCATAATTTTAGAAGAAGAGGAAGAAGAAGAAGAAACAACGCAACATGGAAAGCAAATCGGACATTAAATTGGTGCGGGTTAACATTCGTGACAAATTTAGGCGGATTCGGAGGTATACAGAACATGCGATTTTGAAATTAAGGGAGTAGGAAAAAGGCCTGATCACTCAATGTCTTGTTACAAAAACGATAGCCTCACAAAAAATTACTTCGGGAAAGTGGAAGGGGAAACGCTGCCTGGACGTACTTTTCGCCTTCGCCACGCAACTCCAAGAGGGCCTCCAAGTCCTCCTTTCGGTGCCGCAACTGTGCCACTTCGACTTTCAGATCCTCAATAGTCTTCAATTACAGGACAAATCAATGGTGCGCATCAAACTCGGTCCAAGGTTAAAAACTAAGCGTACAAATTCCTACGAACGAGACCGTCAATCCTTGTTCCATTTCGAGATTTGGTGCGAACACGACCGATCCAAAGGGTACGCGGACCCTTCAGATCAGCAGCAAATGTTTTCCATACAGATACACACGCACACACACTTGATAATAACACGGCGTTAATTGTACCAAGGACCGGATACATGAAATTTGAACAATTGTGCAATCTGACGCACGTGATTAGCCGGAGAATTTTGCGATAAAATACCTATAAGAATGAATCCAAGAGGTGGCATCTCGGCCTATGTTAGTCACGACAACGGCGCTGCTGGTTTGTCAATGGGAACAAAGCACTTATAGTGAAAATACAAACTTATTTCTGTTTCGCGTCTACTGATTCATAGACATTTTACAATTCAGGGAGACCCCAATGCACATTAATGCTTATTATGACCACCGTCATGACTAAGTGGTGAAGAAAGAGGCAAACCTACGCCAGATGTAAATCCATACCTCTTCTTCCAATTGCATTGTCTTACGACGCAGGTCGGCTGTTTCAGCAGATTTCAGTTCGAGAGCCATCTTGAAGCTCTCACTTACTTCCTCCATTAGAAAATCACTTGCACACTGTGAA